CATCGGTGGCTGCACTTAAGAACTTGAAATTTAATGACCTTATGGACGTGGTGTTTCTCCATATTGCACTAAAGAAATTAGACCCCGACACCGTGCGTGCGTTTGAAATGGAGCATCGTAGCTCGGAGATGCCTTCCTTTCATTCATTAGCATCGTTTGTGCGAGATCAAATTAAGGTGATGCAGCGCTCCCCGAACGTTAAACAAGAAATTAAAAAATGCGTCGACCGTAGACAGACTCAACCATCTAAAACAGCAGGATCGTTAACGTACGTAACCGCTACGTCGGCACCACTTCAGCATGCCTGTATCATATGTAAAGATAAACACGGTAATTTATACAATTGTGCGACCTTTCGTAAATATTCACCAAGCGAACGTTATAAAATAGTAAAGACAAACAACCTATGTCTGAACTGCTTAAGCGATAAGCATTTAGTTGCAAAATGCAATTCTAGTTCCGTATGTAGCAAGTGCGCCAGGAAACATCACACGTTATTACATTTTGAAAATAGCAACATATTGGCGTCAAGTAAAGTGGACAAGGAATTCACCCCTACTAAAGTCAACGATTCTAGCGGTCGCCCTGGTGATGTCGCTGTGTGCTCATTGGCAAATATGGGAGCACAACCTCCTTCAACCGTGTTACTGGGTACGGCACGTATTTTGGTTAGGGATTCGCGTGGAAACGAACAAAGCGTCCATGTACTGCTGGACAGCGGAGCCCAAAATAGCTTTATAACGCGACAATGTTGTCAGCGCTTAGGCTTAGTAATAAATAGGTCACTCTCATGTCCCGTAGTCAAAGGCATCGGAGGTACTAGTAAAGTTACCCAGGGATATATAAATTTAAAATTTTATTCTCGGATAGATCGTAATGTTAACTTTGATATAAATGCACTAGTAGTAGATAGGGTCACTGAACGGCTGCCAACCGTTTCGGTTGACACCTCGGCAATGATTGAATTTAAAAATTTGACTCTAGCAGACGACACTTACGCCGTTCCCGGAAACATAGACATGCTCATTGGAGCATCGCTTTTCCCTCATCTTTTGTTAAACAATAAGGTCAGGGGCAACTCCTCGCATACCGCGCCTTACGCACTGGAAACCGTATTGGGCTATGTCATCGTTGGCTCCGCCCCCATCATAGATAATATTTCAGCAACCTCTTATTGTTGTATGGCTGTAGAACCGCTCGAGTCGTTAGTCCGCAAATTTTGGGAGATGGAGGAGGTGAACGTCCCACCCATAGCTTGCTCAGTTGACAGATTATGCGAGGAAATTTACGTCCGCACGACCGTTCGTGATCGCGACGGTAGATATAGTGTAGCGCTACCCTTTAAAGGAGATGTTTTATCTCTCGGCGATTCGCGTCAAATGGCGGAAAAACGTTTCTACAGCTTGGAGCGTAGGATGCTCGCTTCACCTCAGTTAAAAGAAGCTTATGACGGCGTCATTAACGAGTATATAAGGGAAGGTTACATATCACATGTGGCTTCGAAATTAGATAACTACGAAGACACACCGTCGTATTTCATACCACACCACGGGGTCATCAGGGAGGACAAACTTACATCCAAGTTCCGTGTAGTGCTCGACGCTAGTGCTAAAACTAGCACTCACCTGTCGCTTAACAATATCCTCTATAGTGGGCAAAATTTACGAAATATAATAGCCAATTTTCGTTTGTTTAGTATAGCACTATCCGCCGATATTCGCCAAATGTTTCTTTGCATAAGGGTCCGTGAATGCGACCGTAGATTCCAACGCATTTTATATCGTTTCAACCCAAAGGAACCTCTAATGGTGATTGAATTTAACCGCGTTTGTTTGGATTGAAGTCTAAAGCTAAGAGGGCAATTGAAAGTGGATTATATATGGATGATTTTGTGTACTCGATCGATAGCGTGGAGGAGGCCACCCTAACCACCGCCGAGGCTATAAAGCTCATGAAGTCAGGTCAATTCGATCTTGTCAAGTGGACTAGTAATTCGTGTCCGGTTTTAGACACAATCCCACTATCACACTGTCTTTCGGCGATAAAGGAATTCGACGATTCTGATACACAGAAGGTGCTCGGTCTGTGTTGGTCACCAGAGTCCGACGTGTTTAGCCTTAAGGTAAATCCGCCCGTAGATAAGTGCACAAAGCGCACAATACTGTCATGCGTTGCTAGATTATGGGATGTCATGGCTATTATACGCTAAGCTTTTGATTAAACAACTGTGGTTATTTGAATGCGATTGGGACTGACTGACTCGCCGCCTGACAGCATTGTTCGGTTGTGGCAGCGTTTTAGAGAGGAACTTCCTTTATTAAGAGAAATTGAAATACCACGTCATATAAACGTTGATAGAAATAGCGTCATCACGGTCGTTGGGTTTGCAGACGCCAGCGAGAAGGCTACGGGGGCGTTGTATATTTCCACGTCCAGAATAATGGTAGAAATTCGATTAGCCTCATTAGTTCCAAGTCGAAAGTCTCCCCCCGTAAGGTTGTCTCTCTGACGCGCTTAGAGCTTTGCGCAATATTAGTACTCACCAAGCTTATTACCGTGTAAAGTCCATATCATGAACTTATTAGTCGATTACCATCATAAATTGAATTCGCACGCTGGCCCCGACTTGCTGATGTCTATCTTGCGTCAGAATTATTGGATTCTTTCTGCACGTAGCTTAATCCGCAATCGGGTGCACAGATGACGAAAATGCGGACTTTAGGTCTTGTCGAGTAACACAATCCGTTTGTGTCCTCTTCCATAGTTTAAATTAGCTTTTTAGATTAGAAATTGTAGTTGAATTTAGGTAATCTTAGCGTTAGTTAGTTATTTGTCCGTTTGATCTTAGCTCTAGTTGTTTTAGTTATTTTTTGAAGGAAATCCTTCAAGGGCGGGGGAGATGGTTGCGCGGAAAACCATTCGTATTTATTTTATTGACGGTAGGCTTGCCAAATCGTTTATCCCTTTCCAAAACGATAATATTCCTACCCTCCTATCGACACATCGGGGTGGTGGGGTGGGAGGGGAGAGAAGATGATTCTAGAATATTACGTGATCATCGTAACCGAAGAAATAAAATGCACGCGCGGCTGACGCGCTTTCTCTTCCCGTCGCGCTCGTCGTTGGAACCACACCACTTAAGACAATAGTGTCATAGAAGGGCTATTGCCCACGCGCACCGCTAGTATAACCGCTTAGCCTGAAGAAGTCGAGCTCCAGGAAACCCGCCTCACCTCGTGTGAGAAATAGTCGCGCACCGCACTCTCTCCCGACGCACCACCGGACAAGAAAGCATCTGGGGCCCCAGAGTGTCTTCCAGAAGTCGCACCGCAGCAACATAGTGCCCAAGCCGCATAGAAGCAACACCCCGGTGAGTGAACATTCCTTACTAGTTCCCTTATGTCTAATGGTTAATCCGCTCCAATTTATTTTCTCCTAATCAAGCAGGATTCTTTTCATAGATTTGGCAAATAATAGTTCGTTTTAGGGAAGAGCGAGTGCATTGTATGGGAAACCGCGTGCTCTAGTCGTCATTTTATGTAAACGAAGAAGCATTTCGCATATACAGTCTAAACATTTGGGTTTAACATCTCGCGTAATAGGCTCAAGGCTCGACCGGGGAATTGGACTTCGGTAACCTGAGGCTCGTCGCTCCACCATTAAGTGTAGCTATTCGGCGAGGAAACGCAGCCAGCGTTCTTGGCACTATACCACGGGGAGCAGGACTTTTTGAATATTTAAATTTTTAGTTATAGTTTCTCTATATTATAGTTCCTTTTTTATTATTGTGTCTATATTGAACATTAATTGCAAATATGTATGAATTGAGTAATGCAACTTAAATAAGATAATTTCAAGATTTTTAGAATAATGTACTACAGTTTTATGACGTTTTAAATCTATCTCCATTTTTATCTAAAGTTTTGAAGTAAAAATCTTAAAGTCTTACTGTAATAGTAATGTACTTGTGGTACAAATAAATTAGGAATGGCTCATTTAATAAAAAGGTTCTTTTTCTGTTTTTTTTTTTATATTTGTTAAGAAAATGTTTGCTGCAAATTGTTGAGTTTTTCTTTGGATTCCAATTAATTTTAACAGATTTTCTCTAATAATTAGAATTAGAATTAGAGAATTTGACAAACGGCGGGAACTTGACCGTCGTAAGGTTGTTGCTCCTAATTTATTGTTTTAATAACGGTTTGAAGTGGATTTGGATATGAAAAAGTGATGCAGTTTTATGTAAGTTAAATGTTTGCGCATATTAACTATTAGTGGAAACGACGGAAGAAGTAAAATAAATGAAGACATGAATAATGGTTTGAAGTGGATTTTAATTCGTAAAAGTTATATGATTTCGTGAATTAAGTTCTGCGCGTGTGAACTATAAGAGTAAACGACGAAACAAGTGCTTTGATGTCGATATAAACCTCAAGTTATTTTGATCGCTTAGGCACCTTATGAACTTTAGTGGCTGTCGTCATCACCTGTCCGCTGGGTCGAGCTGTCATCAAAATCTTCCCAAGGGCTTCGCAATGTGACGCAACAGCACATTGTGAAGAAAAGAAAAAAAACGCGGGAACCTTGAAACTGGACTGATATATATGAATTAAAATTTATAAAGACTATAATATAAAGAAGACTATGCCTTAGCATTTGTGGTTTTTGAAAATATGAAGAATTAAAGAAAATAAGACTTGGCTTCGGCCTTTATGGAATTTGAAGAGATGGAAAGAAGAAAAATAAGACTTGGTTCCCGCCTTTACTCTCTAAAATTCTATATATTCAAATTAAAAAAAAAGACAAGGCTGTATGACTTTGTTCCTTTGCCTGCTCTCTCGAGCGAATAATAAAAACACAACAACAATCAGCTGCTGTCACCTGTCAGTCAGCGTCAAAGTCAAGCGTCAAGTCAGCTCGACAAAATATTATGTTTGATGAGCGTGGTTGTTTAATGTTTATATATTCTTAATAAATATCTAGCACATAAGTATATTTAAAAAATGAACGATAATGAGGATGAAGCTACAACATTTTGCGATTCTACGGTAGTTATAAAGTGTTTTATAGCATATGAATAATTTTGATGTAATATACATTCACGAAAATTTCTATTGACTTAACTGGTTTCAGTCAGCACTGGTTGAGGGTTGTCGACTGCCAGTTCGTATGCAAGGTGGCAATGACTGGCCCCTCGCAGAGATTATTAGTATAAAGGAAGTAAGAGGTCAAAGAGGCTATTATGTCCATTATGTTGACTGTAAGTATACACATATTTTCCTTGAAAAGATTAAATATTATTCCTGACATAGTTATCAGATATTAAGCAAAAGGTTGAGTTGTAGAGCAAATCGCTTTTGCTCCCCAGTGCCCTAGTGTACAAAACCTACATCAAATAAATATTGTTAGATTAGTCATCAAATATTGTATTGTGGAAATGAATTTGATATATTTTTTACTCATCATGAAAAAATAATTTGTATATTTAAAACTCATGTCTGGTGTTCTTACGTAAACTTCAAGAATCTATGAATGTGTAACACATGTTTCACTGTTTTTAGATGTGGGAAATGCGTTTTAAATTAATTACGATAAAAACAAATTTCACTTAAAATTGTGTAATAATGAAACGCAAATATGTCAATTTGTTTTTTTAACACATATACACTTATAAAAAAGTCAATCACTAGGACCCAGACAATCCATTTGTGGCTGGAGATGGGACTTATATACAACAAATTGAGTCGCAGTGGAGAGCAGTAAGGCAACCAGACCAGACTTTATAGATAAGATTGGTTGAATTGGTTCTAAAACCGAATCAGCACACCCCAACTGCACATAGTCTTGTCTGCCCTACCCCTAAAGTGTTTTTGTAAAGCCATAGACATGGAGGGAGAGCAGTCCCAGTCCGCTGTAGCAAATCGCAGGCATCTAAGTGAGCAATAGTGGCCGAGGCTGGTTGCCGAAGGTGATCAATAAGCCTAAGCTGCAGAGTCGAGCATGAGTGCCTGTGATTTGCTATGGGTGCCTGTGATTTGCTACGCAAGGGCGAAAGGGCTGTCCGCTCCCAATGCCGTATGGCCATTGCAGAGGTAGCTTTGTGTCAATATTCCTGTATAAAATGTGATGTTATAATTTTACAAAAAAAAAATTATTACTCATAAACTATACATTTTCCCAACAGGGGGAGGGTAGGGGGGCTTCCCATGGCCCCCTCCCCTCTCCCCTTCCCCTCCCAACACTGTACGCGAGTACTGTTTTATTAATTAAGAATCAAAATGCAGATGTGTTGTCACCCCTGAGAACTAAAAGAGAATGCCTCGTTTCCAATAAAAAGCATAGTCAGTGTTTAGAACCAGAGAACTTTTTTACTGGAAACGAAGCATTTTGTCTTGATCCTCAGCTCTGACAAAACAACTTCTATATTCAATACTACACTACACTACTACTGCACTCACTGTCAGGTAGACTCTTTTTAGTCATTCTTATGATATTAAAAAAATTGGTTTTGAAATTTCTTTTGATACTGACTAGATATATGCATAGATATTATTTTCAAACTTCCATTTGGCACCATCCTGACATACCTATCTCGTCTCCTTTACATCCATATATGTACACATACATGCTCAACGATTAAGGGTACTTCTAATGTGGCCCATTTTCAAAATATCGCCAATTTGGCCGATCAACTTTCATCTAGGGTGTCCCTTCCCAACTCTGCCGTTCACATCTGCCATATAAATTTCCGTTGTCACTCTTTCCTTATTCATTCTTTCTACAAAAAAAAATATTTCGTTTTAAGAAGTACATGCCTTAAGAACTAGTGGATCGGAACCTCCATTTAAGCAAAAAAAAATGCCTGTGTTTGGAGGGTCCGCCCTTCCATTACTACATTCATGTTACATGGCAGTATGGGTAAACATATTCTATATCATACATTAAAATTATCTACATATTACTTATATTCTAAAATTAGGACAATCAAACGATAGGAACAAGTCTACTTATAAATACTGTATGATATGTGAGTGAAAGTTTATTTATTTATGTATACGTATGTGTGTGTGCGTGCGTGCGGCGTGCGTGCGTGCGTAGTGCGTGCGTGCGTGCGTGCGTGCGTGCGTGCGTGCGTGCGTGCGTGCGTGCGTGCGTGCGTGCGTGCGTGCGTGCGTGCGTGCGTGCGTGTGTGTGTGTGTGTGTGTGTGTGTGTCTGTTTGCGTCTGTGCTTGCATGAGTTAGAATGAGTGGGTGTGATTAGAGTGTCTGAATCTGTACAAATCACATAACACAATTACAAATACTAAAAAAATAATTTACTTTGACAATTGCAATTTGTGTATAATATAAAGCCTCGGCATAATATAACACTCATTTCATATTATTAAATATTGTAACATTACTTGAAACTCCACGTAAATTAAACACTAGTTTTACTTTTGTAATTAAACTCTTAATTCAAAAATCAAAACAATCAATTACATAAAGTTAAAATTTATGTCTCTTATCAATGACACAGCTTCCATTTTGCATAGCCCACATAACTTTTCCATTTTCCATTTACATACGCCCCATACTAATCCTATTTAATATGACAACAGTGATTGTTTATTTGTACAATAAAATATGTTTGTAGAGCTAAATATGAGTGCAAGCAAGATACTTGAGAATGTTCCATTTGGTCATTAGTTTCATTGTGTTCACACATCATCGGTGCGTTATTGACCTTATGACATTTGAAGTCTTATTGTTACAGAAAAAGTGCACGAAAATATAAATATTATCTGATAATCAATTTACATACTCCAAAGTTCGACACATTGTTGTGGTTTGCATGGAGGAAACGTCACATCGGCCATGTTGCCTCTTGACAAAAATTTTGCAAAATAATTTAAGAATGATAGATAGATAAGAAGGTAAAAAGAACACCCCGAGACAGACAGATCTTATCACGATTTAATCCCATCGCAGGGTGGTTGATTTACACGCTTTACTCTTTTTCCCCCGCCTTTTCACACAGCAGATTACTATGAAATGCCACACAAGAAAGAAATGAATTAATGAATAAATTAAAAAATGTTTTGTTTCGCTCGAAAACTGTAGGATTCTGCCTTCACAGGGCGTGGTGGATTCATTCACACACATAAACATTTATTTGTGTTGCTGCATAAATCCTGGGTCCATCTGGGATTCAAACCTAACCAGAACCAGGTTATATAATAGCTAGATATGTTGAGTGAAAACAATCTAGGTCAACTTATTTTATTAGTAGAGTATTTCAGAATCTGACTACCTCATTGGTCTAGTGCTTGTAAATACGACTGCTGATCATGATCCCCTGGTTTAAATCCTGGGTCATGCCAAAAAAAATAGTTATTGAGTTGTTCCATTGAGAAATATTCAGTACCTGACTGAGTCAGAAAGTTGGCGGTGTTTTGCCCCCCTGCCTCGAAAAGCATTTACAGCCGTTGGTCCTGCACCTGATCTCTCAAAGATGATGTCGGTTTACCGTCCGATCAGACTATGAGTGAGAGTGAGTGAATAGAGAGTGCACCTGTGCTTGCACATACACTTTGACACTATAATCTTGACAGCTCCGATGGCTAGTTTCCATTGAGGTTGGCCACTGTGACTAATATTTGGTCGGCGGACATTATTATTGTTATTATTTAATAATCATTTTGTTTCAGTCAACAAACGATTAGATGAGTGGGTTGGAGAGTCATGGCTGGATACACGGAAGGTTCAGTTCCCAAGAAGAGATGGTGCACCTTCTGGTGGCACTACCACTCCAAAGAAAACTCATATTGGATCAGGAGGTGGCATAATGCCTCAGTTTATTAGTATGTGTGATTTAGCTATTTTAGTTCCACAGTTACTACGAGGGGTTTGGAAATTTCAGTTATAATCACTTCACATTTTTTTAATTTATGCACTCATGATACTTAGTTACTATCAGAAAGTATTGGTAGCCTCAAAGCTTGAGATTCCTTCTAATAATTTAAGATCATAGTAATTTAATACACTTATTTTCATCCATATACCTGACATTTTTTAATATTTATTTATTTTATAGATTCATTTTCAATTTTTGAAGTAGTTATCCTAATAATCATACTAAAATAGTTAACTTTTTTAACTCAGCATGTGAGTTTAATTTCATTGTATAAATAGAACAACATTTATTTTATTTGAGATCATTTTGAAATTAAAAATTTTAAAGATTAATTAATATTTCTTACTTGCTATTTTGTATTACAGAAGTCCATGTAATTTTCATTTTTATCATAAAAATTGTGATAAAAAGAAAATTAGAAAGACTCCCATTTTCTTGATATGAAATTGAATGCAGGGTTTTATATAATTTAATTGAATGTTCATTTTGTCGGCAGATGATAACGTCTGCAATGAACCTCAAAGCTCTCATAACCATAGAGACTCCAATGCAAAGCAACAAATTCAACATAAATTGCCAGAGAGAGCCCATAATAGCAATGCCCTCAATGGCACCGCACAAAAATACACACCTGGTATGTTTAAATTTTAAAATTGTTCACGCCTAAGCAGGGTATTTAGAAGCTATATGATTGTTCCATGCAAAGTAAAGTAGTACCTCTCCTATATTGTAAAAAGATTAAGACTTGTACATATTATATTTAATTATACACGTTGTTTGTTATGTTTTTTTTTAACAGATAAATTTTTGATATAATAATTAAATGAAACTCATTTTACGGATTGTATCGCGTTTAATTTCCGTCAACTATTAACGTCAAACACCTCAGTTGAAATTGAAATTGAACGCAATAAAATCTGTAAAATTAGTTTGATTTAATGAGTAGTGTTCGCGTGAATATACTCGTAGGAAGTCATTACATAATAATTGTTTTTGTAGAGGCTATTTTGGGTTCATCCTTTACTCAATTCTACCATAATCTAACCGCACTTTGCTTACTAAAGTTCTTATTCATAGAAATGTCTTATAGCACTTATAAGTAAGCCGGCCAATCATCCCATATTGTGCAGGACAAACTTGAAATACATAGTATAATACTGTATTTATTAAAAATAAAACTGTATAAAGTTAAATGCCTATCTAATTTTATACAGTTTTATTCCTTTACAATTTCTATGCATCATTTTTATTTACATTGATAAATACTGATAATATATTGATGCACACACCAAGCAAACAAATTCGTAAAACTACTACCCGCAGCTGACTCTACACAAAAGTTGAACTGTGTGTGTTGCTGGACATGTTTTCCCGTTGTAGGGAGGAATTGACTCAATTGCCATGCTTGACAGACGTATTGACGATCGCAATACCTGATGCATGGAGTGTAAAGGTGAGGAGTACAGACTCTGTATAAAAAAGTGTCCGTAGCAAAGCGCTAAATAAGGGTGGCGCCACTGTAGCTACATAGCTAGTCTAAATTTTAAAGAAATTTCTATAATTTTTTATTGCACAGACTTTCATCATAATTCTTTTTACAATAATTATTTTATTGCTTTCAAAATTTTTATTTTCAAAATCACTCTCAACGTATTTTACGGCGATTTATCATACCCTGTAGCTACTCGAGCGCTGTCGTGGAGAGTTTTTGAACTGTTATTTACTGCTTACAGATGGACACATTTTCAACTATTATCCTATGGGAGATTGTCCTCCTTATTTCTATACTCCAAGACCTGACGTCTTGTAACTTTTGCGACCCGTCGGGGTCTGGATATTTACGTCTGTTGTAAACGAGATGTTTACACCGCCAACTATCGGTAGCCATGGATATTTCTGGGGTTTCCAATAATCGCCTCTTACAGCACAAATCATTATCTTTCGAAATCAAATGACAGGATAAATAGTTAAGGGAAAGTGATAATCCAATGCTTTGTGCACTGCATTTTTAAATTTAAGCGCAGACAGATGTAAACATTTTTATGAAATTCAGAATTATCATTAAAAATGTCCCATCATCGCTCACGTCAGACTATCCTTAAAGTTGGCCAGTTTACTGAATGACTGCTATAATTAATAGTTCCATTTAAGGGGCCTATTTATGAATAAGTCCATTAGTACTTTGTTTTGCATGTTATTAATATTTTCTAACCCTTAATATATTTTAATTTATTTTTCAGCTTAATTATAACATTTTAGTATTAACTAAACACTCAGTAGTTTTATACTTTTAAAATATTTTTACGTATTATTTCTTTGTTAATTTTTTTTAATATTTTTATAATACGAAGTTACAAACAAATACTTACAGTCCACCTGGTGATAAGTGGCTAATGTGGCCCATGGACACCTGCTACCAGCTGCACGCAAACAATGATACAGATGTGTCTGTCGCTTCGGAGGACTAAGATGGAATGCCTCAGAGCCTCTAATTATACCGGTCCTTTATACCATTTTGACTGGACACAGCTCACACTACACAGCAGTCCATGCACTGCTGACATCAGAAATAGGTAAGGTGTGGTGGTACCTTCCCAGTCTGACTCCTAGGCAGATAAGATAACCTAGTAAATTTTTATCCAGTTATGGTAATATCAAAACAGGTAGTCTTTATTCTCATATGTGGATATCTATGGCCTCTCCTAGGTTTATAGGATTTTAGCTAGAACAAGAAAAACTAAACTACAACTCATACTATAAAATAGATTAATACAGCGTTGGGAATTTAGCCTCTTATGGGTTAAATCTAGCTTTTTTTACTTGTTCAGTCCCATATAAAATGGTCTAAATAAAATACCCTAAATGCCATATTACAAGTACGAATTTCAAGCAAACTTGCTATAAATATGACGTCACAAAGTATCTCAAAAATTAAATTCCAAAGTAAGTACAAATTTATATTGAACAAGCTGCGCGCAATAAGGACCAACAATCGATGTCATCTACACAAGTGGTCAAAGTATAAATATTGTACAACCGACTTCAATTAATATAAATAAAATGAGAACATCATCAATGTAGTCGAAATAAATTAAATACGCATTATTAATGATAACTCAAAAACTACAGATTACTTAAAAATTTATGAGGGACTACATTAGAAGCATCATCCAAATCGGTTCACTTAGAAACAAGTTATGAGGTAACATATAAAAAAATACAGTCGAATTGAGAACCTCTTCCATTTTTGAAGTCGGTTGAAAAGTGAAACTCTTCGCCCAAACTCGACCAAAACTAATGAGGACCACGTCATATTAAATTGATTATAGTAACCTGGTCAGAAATACAGGAAGTCGATGGATGCATGTGGCTACAGACCGTAAAGTTACAGCCTGTATACGTCCCACTGCTGGGCACAGGCCTCTCACTTCTGAGAGGGTTTTAAGGCGAGGAAGTGACCGGCGTGCTGCTTCAATACATTTTGGCGGACATCGACAAATATTTCTTTTCTCCGACATGCAGGTTTCTTTACGATGTTTTCCTTCACTGTCGAGCAAGTGGTAAATCGGCACTTTGAAGAAAGAAAGAACGAAAGATAGAAAAGTTTTGTGGTTTTTCTGGGAGGAGGTCTAAGTTCATGTAATGAGTGAAGAATGGATGAATGGTCTAGAATTCTATATTTTATAAATAATCTACACGGTAGGTACTATATAATCAAGTACGTTAAAAAATCAACCGTTTTAGTTATTATTAAGTTTTTACCAATGAATTTGCCGTTTTTATATGAAATAAGTTAACGTAAAGTTTTTTCTATATTTTTTATTTATATTAATCAAAGTAATCACCCATGCAATCGAGACATCTTTTTTGGGCAGTTTATTGATGCCCATCTTCAAATCAGGAAATCAGCTGTACTGCCTTTCTGGTATTGATTTGTCCCCGCCAAAATTTTATCCAAATTCTGGAAAAGTTGAAGTTTGTAGGCGCAAGGCTGGTGTGTACGGTGGATGACGGAGAGCTACCAACCTCAGCTTTTGTAACTTGGAGACCTTCTATTGTGGAGTATGAGTATGAAGTCGCGTGTTTTCATGCAGGAGCAGCGGAGATGAGCGATTGATCAAAGCCGGTTGGAGACATGACAGCTTCCTCATAATTGTGTTCAGTTCTTCACAGTTTGGTAAGAAGCTGTGATGAATCACACGCTAGACCACCAAACAGTGATCATCACTTTTCTAGGGGTAAGTTTTCGTTTAGGGCATTGTTTAGGTGCTGAATATGAATCCAAGCAACTTGCTGAGCGTTTGCGATTGTCAAACAGAATCCATTTTTTGTCGCAAATAACAATGCGTTTCAAAATTTCTTCGCATGTGTGCCTGTTGAGTGCAAGGCACTTCTCGACACGTTCTTCGCGCTGGCGGTGATTGAGTTCGTTAGGCGATTATTTGTCAAGCTTTTTTCACCTTACCAATTTGACGCAAACGGGTCAATATTATTTTGTTGCTAACGTCGAAAGCTGCTGCTAATTCAGCCGAAGATTGAGTAGCTTCCACAATCGCCTTTAATTCGTCATTGTTTACCAAGGTATTCAGTTGACCGCAAGGTTCATTTTTCAGTTCGAAATTTCCAGAACGGAAGCGGGAAAACCTACAGCAGGTAGTGCTTTCGTTTGTAGAATTCGCCCCGTAAACGTCGTTGATATTGCGTGCCGCTTGTGCCGCGTTGCTGCCAAGAAGGTACTCGTATTCCATAATTACTTGAGTTTTTAACGTATCCATGATGACCAAAAAGATTCAAATACGATGAAAACATAACACTAATAAACAAATGACTTATTACGGCATTTTGTGATTTTATGCTGAATAAGTGATCCTAAACCTCATAAAAATAAAATTGAATCGGAAATTTTGTGCAATGTTAAATTCTATTTTTACTTTACTATTTCATTAAACATTTTATTTGTCAACAACGTCTTACAGTCGTCGTTTCTCTAGCGCTCACGTGACTTTCATACAAATAATTCGATATTTTAATTGTTGATAATTTTTATTTTTGGATAAGAACATGGTAATGACTAAGTTATATTCACCGTCATTTAAAAGAAATGTCTTTGGCCAAACTTACTATACTCTTTGGCTTGACCATAGGTCTGACTAATAGGTCCAAAGTGGTTAAAAAAAAGAATTCCATGTTTTTAAAATAAAATTAATTTGAAATTAGAATACTTAGCCAAAAAAAATTATTTTGATTTGAATTGGCCAGTACGTACTGTAGAACGGCAATTTCATGGGTAAATACTTATTATTTAGCTAGCCCTATTTCAATATCTTTTCAATGATCTGGTACCTTTTTAATTCTTTTGCAGCTGTTACAGGTGAGCCACGACAGTTGGTTTCTAGACCAGCCAGCCCGACTCTTGTTAATGAATCTAATACTTTAGTGAATGGAGGTGCAGTCCTTGCTGCAGCCCTTCAAAAGAAAATGAATAGGAAACGTAAAGCTAACTCTCTAGAAAATGAGGTAAGGCCCTCATAGCATTTTAGTTGTGTCATTTATCTTTGAATTAATTAAAAATTAAAACTGGACCTTGGTAGCTTCATGTTTATGCTCGCCTTAAATGTTGCGGAAAGGATCATCTTGAGGAAAACTGCATCTCCGAAAAGTTTCAAGGACGTAATATAAAGTGGTCTAATCGCATTGGAGTAGCACGGCAGTTTCGGAAGGACTTCGCTTTGTAGTGAGATATCTAAAGGCCGTTATTTTTTTTTAAATTCGTTCATTCATTACAGCCTATCAATCATCCACTGCTGAACATAGGCCCTCCCCCCTCCCCCATAGATTGGTTTTACTAAACGTTTTTAATGCCCTTTTTATTTCCAAGTAATAAAGAGAATAGATTTGGCGCATTTGTTTAACATTCTCGTAAAATGAAGTGCGGCATAGAGAATATCATTTTGTGACTAATATTACGGTAGTTTAGGGGTTATAAGTTTCAAGTTACATAGTTCACGAGCAATCCTGGTTCGATTCTCGCCGGCACCAATGTAACTGAATGAAAGACGTCGGTATATACCGGAATGTGTAAACACCTACAGGATCACCTCCGACATTATATCAGATTTGATTGACCACATATCCTCGAAAAATAAAATGTGTTTTTGTATATTTCCATAATCCTCTCATTTCTGAGAGTAGGCCTGTCACCAGGGACGTGTATAAGCTGTAGTTTATGTCTTGTAGGAACCTCCATCCCAAGATTCACTTGATAGTGGTGAAGCTGCTCCAAGTGGAACGGCAACCCCAACAACTCGACCACGACAATCCGGCAGTTTAGTGGCCCACGGACATGATGACCTCGTAACGCGGATGAAGAACATAGAAATGATAGAGCTGGGACGCCATCGGATACGGCCGTGGTATTTCGCACCGTATCCGCAGGTGGGTAGTGACAATATTTAAAGTGTAGCAATATAACGTCGGTATAATGAAGTGACATCTCCGGCGGGGCCTTTTGCGTACATGACAAGTACTCGCTCTTGTATTAGAGTGACCTAATTACCAAATGAGAGTGAGGGAATAGTGAGTACACCTGTGCTTGCACACTTTTGTAGAATAAGGGTGACTAAATAACACACGATCCAGCTTGTGGTAAGTAGATGCTGAGGCACAACATAGACATCTACATCTATCCTCGAAGAAGGATCAAAATGCAGATGCGTTGTCATCCCTGAAGACTAATATGGGTTATTTCGTTTCCAGTTCAAAAGGTCTTCGGTTCTCTACACCCACCATACGAAGCCTAGCATCTTTAAGATACTGTATCACGAAAAACCTGCGAGAATGTGGTACTTCCCCGGTCGAGTCGACCTATTCGTTCTATAACCGTTTTATAGCTGCAGCATGGCTCTACCACTTAATATGGTAGTCTTCGTCGAGACCGGCATCTGTGACCGCAAGTGATCGGAATACTGTCTGGAGGACAGTCTAACGGTGACCTGTTACACTGTCCTGGTGGCAACTGCTTAATATTTAAGCAGAACTCGCCACTATACCACAAGCCTCGTCGAACTCTTCCCATTGGGGCCTTAGGTTTTACGTTACGTAGTAATACATGTGATTGAATGTATAAATTCTATGTTAAGATCCAATAAAACATCCATATTTGTTTAAAACTATAGATTTAATAAAACGGACAAGAGGGTCGAGTATATTCTCTAGTTTTCATTATTTAAATATAAAATCATAGCGACAAACAAACTCACAGACCACACGATGGTAAGTTGCTATTATATTCCACGGATACTTGCACGCGACCTAAAACCAAAAATGATACAGATGCATAGTCACTTCGGAGGACTAAGATGAAATGCCTTACAGCTTGTAATATTTCTCAATTAACGCTTCAAACCATAACCTTGGCCTCTCAGTATATCTACGAGTATCAGTATATATATGAAAATTTGATGTAAGCTCACAAAAATAAAGGTAGTTTTAGTAAAAAAAGGTGACATACATTCTGTAAACACTAGGAACAAACACAAGCTGGTGCTACCAGTTTTTCGACTCCACAGTCAGTAATTCATTCTTGGGGCAATGTATACCTACGCTATTACAACAAATTCCCAGAAAATATACACGGTATCTCTATTACCAAGTTTAAATATTTAATTAAACAATAACTGTATAAATAGGATTATTATGATATAAATGAATACATGATTGATAATAACCCCTGGGAATGAAGTGGTCGCTTCCAAGCTGTTTCTAAAATAAATTTTGTAAATATTTTGTGACCCTTGACATTGTAAAATTTATTTAAAAAAAAGTCCCGCTGGGTTTCTTGCTGGTTCTTTCCAGGACAGAGGTTTTTTTCGAACCAGTCGTAACGTAAAATAATGGGTGCGTTTGGCAGAAAAAAGCGCTAGCAAGCGCTTGTAAGCAAAATGGCGATCGTAAGCGGTAAGCGCTGTCAAATCTTAAGTAGCTATTTTCCTCTAGCCTCTAGAACACGATGTTAGTTTTAACCGGGGAACCTAACCAAATTTAAATATATGTTTGTGAAGTATTCGTATTAAAAACTTACCAATCATGAATTTTTAATAACATGTATATGTCTATTCATATCATTATATTACTTAAAACTAATATTACAAATAACAACTTATAAACTCTACTTCAAAACAAACAAATAAGCAAAATGGCGGATTGTGTCAGCGCTACTGAAGTAGCAATCGTGTCCTGGCCGAAAACTATTTTAGCGCTAGTAAGCGCTTGCTAACGCTTTTTTCTGCCGAACGCACCCATTGACTTTCAATAAGAATTACTTGTAATCTATGTTGAATAAAAAATTATTCTATTCTATTCTAACACAGTAGTGCACATATTACTGCTTGATGGCAGGAATAAGCAAGAGAGTGTTTCCTACCCATAAATACTCCTAGACAAAAGGAGTCGTACTCGTACCACAAAATATTACTGTTTGGCATGAATTAGAAGCCAATACAGCAAATCTTAGAATTTAGTTCTTTGTCTGTCTGTATGTGCGCGCTTCACCTGAAAATATCTGAGTCGATTTCAAAGTAATTACAACATTGTAGCTTATGATTTCGTCGCCGAGCTTTGTAAATCCAAGAAACAACTCTACTTCCATACTATGTCTATCCTGTAGCATAAAGTGGTTTGTATCCTTGTCTGGTTAAAATTATATTTCCTTCTTATAGAATATGGATGATATACGAGCACACAGTCTACTTGATTGTAAGTGCATGCTGTGGCCCCTAGACATCTACATTTATCCTCGTTTAAGAATCAAAATGCAGATGCGTTGTCATTCCTGAGGACTAAGATGGAATATCTCGTTTCCAGTAAAAAGGGTCTACGGTTCAAAACAGAGCGGCATTAAGCTACTATTTTACGCTGGTATTTTGTTAGAGCGTGGTCCTACCTCGGTAGAGCCGACCCATTCATACTACTACAACCATAACATGGCTGCAGCGTGGCTCTACCACGTCAAAATTTTCTAGGTAAAATAATGTCAGGCGAAGTGCAGTTATTATTTACTAACTCGTAAATTTCTGCGTGTTTTAGGGAAACAGCACAAGAAATTTTAGTAGCTATAACAACGAACAAAATATTGGGTGCGTTTGGCAGAAAAAAGCGCTAGCAAGCGCTTACAAGCGCTGAAATAGTTTTCGGCCAGGACACGATTGCTACTTCAGTAGCGCTGACACAATCCGCCATTTTGCTTATTTAATTTATTTGTTTTGAAGTAGAGTTTATAAGTTGTTTTGTGCAATATTAGTTTTAAGTAATATAATGACGTGAATAAACATATATGTTTATTGTTTATGTTATTAAAAAATTCATGATTGGTAAGTTTTTAATATGAATACTTTACAAACATATATTTAAATTAGGTTAGGTTCCCCGGTTAAAACTAACATCGTGTCCTGGAGGAAAATAGCTACTTACGATTTGACAGCGCTTACCGCTTACAATCGCCATTTTGCTTACAAGCGCTTGCTAGCGCTTTTTTCTGCCAAACGCACCCATTATTGCGTCTTTAATTTTTTTTTCAGGAAATGGTCAATTTACCTTGTATCTATATATGCGAATTCTGTTTGAAGTACAGGAAAAGTAAAAAGTGCCTCGAAAGACATTTAGTAAGTACTCATTTGTCAACATACCATTAAAACTTTTTGCATGAGATATTTCTTAGATTTGCACATGTAATCTATTTTTTTTAAATTAATAACATTAAAAACTTTATTAATAACATAACTAAGAGTTGATGTAGCAATTATAATTTTAAACTCTCCGCGTGTGTTGCCTCGGTTGATCTGCTGCATCAGAACTTACTCAGTTAAAACGTAACAGCATGATATATACACATCCCACTGCTGGGCACAAGCCCCCTCTCATTTCTGAGAGGGTTTTAGGGCAAGGAAATGTCCGCCGTGCTGCCCAATGCGTTTTAGCGAACTTCACATGTTTTCGAAATGTTTTTTCTTATTTCTTAGACATGCAGGTTTCCTCACGATGTTTTCCTTCACCGCTGAGCAAGTGGTAAATTCAGCACTTAAAATTACAAATAACATTACATTAATTTCGTTGGTGCCGGCGGGCATCGAACCCGGGTTTTTCGTGTACTGTGTAATACAGCAAGGCTAGCGAGCTACCACGGAAGCTACCAAAATATTCTTTTCATTCTTCAATATTTTTAAGAATGTGAGACTCATACCATAGTCGACGGTCCAATAAGTGTGTAAACTTTAGGAGAACACTTCTCACTGATTTTTTTAGAACGTACGACGAAAATGGAAAATAGCAATTGTTGTGCATTTGTTTCAGATAAAATGCAAACTAAAACATCCACCGGGCAATGAAATTTACCGAAAAGGCAGTATTTCATTTTTCGAAATTGACGGTCGAAAGAACAAATGCTACGCTCAGAACCTCTGCCTGCTAGCAAAACTGTTCTTGGACCATAAAACCTTGTATTATGATACGGACCCATTTTTGTTTTATGTTATGACAGAGTTCGATGCTAGAGGTAAGTGTATTGATAAAGTTACAAAGATACTCTGATATATATTATTTATTTATTTAATATTTATTATACACCTTATAATAAGGAGTATAAAGGGCGGACTGATGGCTTTCTGTACCAGTCAACCATGGATGGTTTGAGAAACTGGTAGGGGCAAAGTGCAAACAATTTTCTTAATAAAATAAGTAATAAACATATGAGGTATAATGAAATGTAGATAAATAAAATATAGTTAATTAATACCTTAGGGTATACAAAAGTCAGCTATAGAGCGCGCGTATCGCTCATTACCAAGCCAAGTGTAAGCAGGTGGTTTATAGATACTAATAATGTGATGGCCTCCAGACCGAATTTCCGTCACGGCAGCCTGCCTCAACGGAGGCTAGCCAACGGCACAAGACAGGATTATAGTGCCCAAGTGTACTCGCAAGCACAGGTGCACTCTATTCCCTCACTCTCATAATCCGATCAGGCGCAGGACTAACGGCTTTACGTGCTTTCCGAGGCACGGGGGTGTGACACCGTCAACTCCCTGACTCCGGGCAACTACTGAGAATTTCTTGACAGAATAACTCAATAATTAATTTTTTGGCCCGACCCGGGATTCGAACCCAGGTCCTCATGATCAGCAGTCGCACTACTACAACCACTAGACCAAGGAGGTAGTATATAGATACTAATACATATATGAAGCGGTTTATACGTAGTAGGGCCACGGTGCAGCTGTCTTGTGGTTTTGGCACGAATGGATCGGCTCGTCCGGGGAGGGACCACACGCTCTCACAGAATACCAGCGTCAAATAGCAGCTTAATACTGCCGTGTTTCATATGGTGAATGTAGATCTGGAGACCCTTTTTACTGGAAACGAGGCATTCCATCTCAGTCTTCAGGGCTGGCAACGCATCTCCATTTTGATTCTTAATCGAAGATAAATGTAGATGTCTATGGGCCACAGCATCCGCTTGCATTCAGGTGGGCTGTGTGCTCGGTTGTCACCCTTATTCTATATAAAATAAAGAATAGTGATGCGCCAAGGTTGACGCGTATGTGTTTATTATATTTAAGTTATTAGTTTACACTGGTACGAATTTATAAATCGATGTTTATTTATCAAACACATCAATATAATTAATTTACTGCCTCTTAAAAATGGCTAACATAATAGTATATAATTATCGTTTTGTTTGCTTGATCGCAGTTTTTCGAAGAAGATATAATGTCAATATGCATAATTTTTGAATCATCTATTAGTTTTGTAGATATTGTAAAGACACGTAATTAAGTAGGCACCTACATGCATAAATGACTGTCGAAGCTATTTTTTTAATCACTTTAAAATATTATTTCAAATCTTACTTCAATTTTAATCTCTGGTATTGCACCTCCAACCAGCTGGCGCAGTCCACCCTTGGTTACAAAAATGGATGAAGCATTAATATGGATGGAACAAACGAAACTACTGATGTTGGGCTCTCAGTTTGGCCTTTTTATTGCTGCCACCCTTTTATTTGCCAATTGACTGTTTTTCGGAAATATGAAATGAGAAAAGTATACGTGGTAGAGCCATGCTGCAGTTATATTGGTAGTAAAGTTGTAGCACGAATGGGTCGGCTCGACCGGGGAAGGACCACGCTCTCACAGAATACCAGCGTAAAATAGTAGCTTAATGCTACTGTGTTTCTTATGGTGAGTGTAGAGAACTGGAGACCCTTTTTACTGGAAACGAGGCATTCCATCTTAGTCCTCACGAGTGACAACGCATTTGAATTTTGATTTGTAATCGAGGATAGATGTAGACTAGTAGTAGTCTATGGGTCACAGTGTGACTGTGCTTGTTGTCACCCCATCCTATAATTTTTTTAACCGTATTTATATCTGTTATTTATCTATATAAAAATGCTATTCTAAACTGTTATATTAAACATTGATCTATGTGGGTATGTAATACAAAGGATTCTAATTTCTTATACTAATTATGATTATATTACTACGAAAGAAATCACGTTATAGCAGTATATTCGTGTACGACGTGGTACAGCATATATACATACATAATCACTCACATCTGTCATCAGAGGGACAGGCAGAGACTACAGGCTTCCATTTAGCACGATCCTGACACACCTCTCACGCCTCCTCCAGATTCATGTACCTACGCATACATGCTCGTCGGTTAAGGGTACTCCTAATTTGGCCCATTTTCAATATATCGCGGATTTGATCGATAAACTTACAGAACTATATATTTATTATACAACACTAGCTATAATTTGGGAAAACCTAAAGCGGCAGGCGCAGGAGAACGTGTTGTGTCAACCCGTTCGCGGTTCGCTTTTACACCCAGACTATTTTTTTTAAATCAGTGTTGCCTTATTAAAATACTGTCTTCTAAAATAATGCCTTATAAAATTACTGATTATATGGAATATCATTGTTCTTCTAAGTTTTCCTCCGTGAATCGTTTTTACAACTTGTTACATTTTTATGCAAAATTTACCACGGTAGCTTAAAATACAAATAAACACCGGCGAGAGAAACAATCATCACGCGTGTCCTTTTGTGACTAATAGCGTCGCCCTTGAAATTTCGAGGCTGTTCATATCCGTGCTTATTGTTCATACTCTATATATAGCTGGCTTATGTACTCTTAGGTTAATAAATAAAGTATAAATAATAAATATATAAGTGACATAAATACATATCTCCCACTGCTGATCACAAATCTGCTAAGCAGACAGTGTTGTCAATACATAAATTTTGCATTACAATGTCAATGTTGCAAACAGTCCCATTCGTATCGTGCGCGCATAGTGGAGACTGGTCGCACTAACCTGTTTGCCAGTAAATCGCTGCCACTCGAGAAGAGTGTTTCACCTCTTTCGATCAGTTGTCGGTTCTGAATTAAAAAAGTAAAGGAACACCTTCTATACGTCCCACTGCTGGGTACTAGCTTAGTTCGCTGCGCTGTGCCTGCGCGTGTTGCGAAGTTTCACATATCCTCGAAATATTTTATGTTTCACACATGCAGGTTTTTATTACAAGCCGATTATTTCCATTATTGATTGATCGAAATTCTCGATGCCTACTGAGGCTGTAAGCTACAACAGCTCACGATGGGTTGTAAATAATTTTACTAAATTAAAACTTAATAATAACGTGGTAGAGCCACGTTGCAGCTATATTGTGATTGTAGCACGAATGGGTCGGCTCGACCGGTGTAGGACCACGCTCTCACAAAATACCAGCGTAAAATAGCAGCTTAATGATGCTGTGTTTACCGGAGACAATTTTTACTGGAAAAGAAGTATTCCATCTTGGTCCTCGAGGATGACAACGCATTTGCGTTTTGATTCTTAATTGGTGAGAAATGTATAATAAAATTGTATATCTATGGGCCACAGCATCCACTTACCATCAGGTGGACAGTGTGCTCGTTTGTCACTCTTATACTATAAATGAAAAAAAAAGCGAATGAGAAAAATAAACGGGTAATTATTTTCATGAGAGATTGAACATTTTTACAGGATTTCATATAGTTGGATATTTTTCGAAAGAGAAAGAGAGCACTGAAGACTACAATGTAGCGTGTATTTTAACTTTACCTCCATACCAAAGGAAGGGATACGGAAAACTTCTTATAGAGTTTAGTAAGTATTAATTTGTCTTTACAAAAGCTTGCGATAATTTAAATTTTTATGTTGTACTATGAAAAGTAAAGGAAAGATGGACCATCTCTTGTAGGATTAGAACTAAAACTTTACTAAAAAAACATTAAATAGCAAGGAATTTATCAATAAAAAAAATTATATACATATTTGAATTTAATGATTCAATTCTTTTTAGAATAAGGGTTACAAACGACACTATGTCCACCTGATGGTAAGTGGGTGCTGTGGCCCATACACATCTACATTTATCTTCAATTAAGAGTCAAAATGCGTTGTCACCCCTGAGGACTGAGATGGAATGCGCATAAAAAGGGTGCTGGTTACTACACTCACCATACGAAACACAGCAGCATCAAGCTACTATTTTACGCTGGTATTCTGTGAGAGCGTGGTCCTACCCCGGTCGAGCTGACCCATTCGTGCTACAACTATACTACTAGTATAGCTTTAGCATGCCACGTAAGAAAATAATGTTAGATGACATTACATGCTCATATAAAAAAATATTAAACCTAATTAGTCTTTAACATGTCTAAAGCCGCTAAACAGTCGATTTAATAAAGACTATTTCATGAAGTTATAGTATTATATTTGATTTTAAAATGTATGTTGTAATTGTTTCGTTTAGGTTATGAATTATCGAAATTCGAAGGGAAAACTGGATCGCCAGAGAAACCTTTATCGGACCTTGGACTACTATCGTACCGAAGTTATTGGGCGCAAACTATACTGGATATACTTATAAACGTTAAACCCGTTGGTGACAATGAAAAACCCATTATAACTATCAAGTAAGACTTCAACAAAAGTTAAAAATGCATTAATGACAAGTAGTCATAAGGACAAGAAAACGTATGACTTCTCTAGTTACAAATTCCCGTGACGTTATGTCAAAAACGTAATGGGAATTTGTAACTAGAGAAGTTCGCAGTATTAATTGAAAAAGAAAATCTTAAGTCAGTCTGTTAATGATTTGTCGTTGACATGCGTGATCTGTCAACTGTGACCGTGCGTCGATTTTCTCACACATTTCGTGTTGCTAATTTTACGTGCAAACTTGGTACATGTTAGAAATGGCAAAGCAAACCAGTTTTACCAAGAATATTGGGCCGGATGGTTCCCCTTAATTCCGAAAGTCTGATCCGAAGAAAAATCTTATTTTTTTCAACAAGTACTAGCTTTGATCACGTTAAGCATATTAAAATTAAGTTAATATATTTTAACTATCAGGGCAAAGTGTAAACATTAACAAACAAGATTTGACCTGCTCAAAGTTCAGAAACTTTATGAAACTAAGTTTGTATAAAAGGGGTTATTATAATATTAAGGAATTCATGGATGATAATCCCTGGGAAAAAAATATTCCGGAGACATATGAAGTTCGCCAACACGCATTGGGGCTGCGCGGCGGACACTTCCGTGCCCTAAAACCCTCTCGAAAATGAGGGGAGGCCTGTGCCCAGCAGTGGGACACGTATATAGGTTGTAACTTTACTAATCCCTGGGAATGAGGTGATGGCTTCCCAGCTATTTGTAATTTGTTTTGTGTTGATTAATTGTTCAACAAACATGAGTAAGCTGTTATTTAAAAAAGAAGTTACTCGAGAAGATTCTTTCACCTCTGGGTTTCGTGCTTGGTTTTCTGGCTGGTTCTTCCCAGGACAGACGTTTTTTTCCAGAACCGGTGGTAATTAAACAAAAGGGTGACTTTATAAGTGTTAGATATAATCTATATTAAATAAAAGAGTTTCTGTTTCTGTTTCTCTCAAAAACTGTCAAAGTTGACTTACGGTCATCATTACCACCACCGATCAATCCGTACAGGTGGGTACAATTTTATAACCATAATGCAAAAGATAAAGTGGATATATTTTTCGATCCATTCTCTCTACAAGAGGATCTAAAGGCCATGAGAATTTTTAAAGATAATGAAGTTAGCGGTCCTGGTGGTATACCAGCTGCTATTGTCCTTAAAAAGTGTGTACCCGAGTTGTTTCATTTTAGACAGGACTCAGAATATTATCGTGAAATAGCAGCTTAATACTGCTATGTTTCCGTATGGTGAGTGCAGAGATCCGGAGATCCTTTTTACGTAAACGAGGTATTCCATCTTAGTCCTCAGGGGAATCATTTTTTGATCTTAAAGCCTCGTAAACGTACAGTAAATGTTAATAAAATATAGCAATGCCGGCACGAACATTTATAATTCATTCATTCATTAAAGCCTATTAAAAGTCTAATGCCGAACATCTACTTCCTTTATATATTTTCCCTCATGTGAGGATTCTACCATAGTCAAGCTTTGCAGGGGGGGGTTGGCAACTGCAGTTTTTCATTATTTCCGATTGTTATCACGAAGATGCTGCTGCCCATCTCCTGTTCAGCTACCCTCTGTTGCCTCTAGCCACACCCACGGGATGATATAGAGTGGTGGATATTACTACCACTGCAGACCTGTTTAAATACCTTCATAATCCGTAAGGCAATCTCTAATAGATATACTGTTAATGTTTATCTGCGGTGATATTCTTAAAAGTTATTGCGAGGATTTAACAGCTTTAAGTTAAATTTTGCAAGCTTTCTTAAAAGTCATTCATTAGTGTTACCAGAAATTTTTGATCTTATAAAATATCCCATAAATTATGCTCGGATACTACACTGCTTGAGCGACTGCTGCAATTATTCGTAGTTTGTAGTATACATTGTACATCAGCGGCTAAGATCGTTAATGCTGATGGATTGACCCCTAAGGTCAATTCCGCGTTGGGTTTGAAATTAAGTCGCCTGAACTTGAGGATTCTGTCACTGTGGGGAGTCAAGCGGGTCTATTTGAAGCACCCCATGCAGTTTTTACTGCCAGGGCAGTGTCGAAGTATTTTCAATTGTTTTTAAAAATATTCGTAAATCACTAACTAAACGTGAAATGGAACGTAAATTTATTTAACTAAATTCTAACGTTTTTGACGTTGCATCTGTCAAAGTCATCTTAAAATACGTAAAATGAATCGCTAGGCCGGCTATTTTGTTGACAGTGACAGATATACTTTAAGTCATTCCGTTGTTTCCGAGTTTACATGAAAGTGCTCCCTAACGTTTTTATGCCTGCCTCCACCTGTTTTTCGATGACTTCGCTACCCTCTGGATACTTTTTTACAAATGGTTGCAGCTATAAATTATGTTTATAATTTAAGATAATTATAAAAGTTAATATCGTGGTGTTTTATTCAGTGGCGAAGCCAGGGCTCCAAACTAGGGCAAGCCCAAGATATGGTTTTGTTGTTTTTAGCAGTTTAATAAAAATACACCAATCTTGAGCTGTCTCCACTCTTTAGTTTCGTATTCAGTGCTGTCAAGGACATGTTTAACAAAGCACACAGAAAGCATACTACCGCTAGATAGATTGTATGACATATGCAATTGCACACCTTCGGTGGTTTTGAAAAGAGCCGTTTGGGTTTGCTTGAGATATTTACAAACAGTACAATACATGAACAAAAGAAAAGCATGACAAGTACAAAGTTAAAAAGGGGACGCCTGGCAGATGTGAAACCTCGAAATTATTTTGTTTAAATTATATGCATAAAACAAACAGAACAGATTACGACAGGAATTAGATAGTTATAATGAGAAGATAAAGCTTTGCTAATTTTTTACCATAAAATAATGACTATTTATTATATAATTATTCATTTTCAATTTATAATAAACCGTACAAAATGAGATTCAATTCATAATAAACCGTACAAAATGATATTTTTAAACTCTTATGGTAATATAAATATTAAATTAGCCCGTAGCGTATTTGTGCCATCTAGCGTAATCTTTAGGTACCATCGTGAGAATCAACCAATTTTGGTTCGATAAAATGACTTTACCTATAGAATTAAGTAGATGGCGCTATTAAAATTGTATATACTGGAAATAACTAAAGGGAGTATTCTTTAAAAACCTCAATACATTCTTCTGTATTCTTTTGATTATTACATTAAAATTTGGGCTTCACACTTATTTCCTATAAAATTAAACCTAGGTGTCTCATATTTTATGCTGCCGTTCAAAATGATATTGTTAATTCATATGGTAATATTAATATTGAGTTATTAAACCTTTAAATACGCCTAACTTAATTGAACTTTAATACTAAAGAGTCCTGTACCTATATTTAAAGTATGAAGAAATGTTTATTGAATATTAAATTTCATTTTTAAAAATTTTACCTTTTCCTCGCCAATTAGCACTTCAACACACTTATATTCATCACAATGAACACTATTATCCTCCCATTTTCACTGAAAAATCTTTGAAAAAGCATAAATTTTTAACAAACACAACAAAAACAAACATAAACGTTGAAATGAGAAGTGAACTTGCATACGAATGGCCCGCACCCCATTCGCTAGTTGCTAACGCACTCCTAAACAACTTCAGGGCAAAGCCAGGCTTGTGGTTCAATAGTAATTGCTATATAAACATTTCGTAGTTATATTTCATTAGAGAACATTTTGCCACAGGTTAGAAAGGGAGCGACCGCCTTCTCGAAAGCCCGGTAAAAAGCCCATGCATGAGAGGGAGTAAACCAATCGCACAATTCAACTCTCCTTATATGTATGACAGCACTATTCGTAAGGCTACGAGGTCGAACAGAGTGCGCGAGAAATTTGAAATAATTTGAAACAGTTTACGAGTTATTTTATTGATATAATTGATTGATTCATCCTAATGAGGCAAACCGGGCTTCTGGGCTTGTATAGAGGCTTCGCCACTGGTTTTATTGAGTGTCAGAGCAAGCGAAACGAGCTCGGGACTTAGGGCACCCCGACTCGGGGCGCCGTCGGCTTCCCTCGTCTGCGCTACGTTGAGTGGCGTCCCTCCCCTATCTCTCTCCCCCCATAAATCAGGTTTATAGTCAAAAACATTACGAAAACATAACCTCAAAATTTAAAAAAATTATGGCTGAGGCAGAGGGGGATGTGGGAGGCGACTCTATAACTCCACTGCCTCCCCCTTCCCCCACCCCACCCCTAATTAAGCCGACTTAATTGCAAACTTTACCCTCAATTCTTCTTGCAACTCTAATTTGACTGCATTTTAACAATATATTGTTACCAAGTATCCTTGAGTTTAGGTACTCGTACTCGTGTGCAAGAGCACCGTCATAATATAAAGTTATATACAGCGCTAATGCCAATAAAAAAAATCAAATATAAGGGCTTACTCTCGAAATTGTTTTCGAATTCGATTCGGTTTTCGATTTAAAATGACTGATTTTAAAAGCTTACTCTGCAACCGATTCGAGCTGAGAAATACGATCGAGTTACAATCAAGTGTTATTAGCACGGTTAGGCACAGCGAGGTATTTCATTATCCGGAGATCATTTTTCATACATTAAAATTTTACATATGACAAACTAAATGAAGAAAAAGCGTCTTCGTCGCATTAGTTTACGAGCGTCATCTAATTCCATATAATTCCAATTTAACCCACCATTCGATTATGTGCTAACTTCGGTTTCGGGAGTTAGGAACACGCCGGATGGTCCTAGTTACACAGAACTTGTATTCTTTAATTCCTCGTTCACCTTTTTTACATTCGGTCGATTAACCATAAAGAGAAATTCCAATCCTTTTTTTTCAAATTCTCTATAAACGTTTTGCGATGTTATTTTTGATGTACCGTTAGAAATGTTGGTCTCTTGAAAGCACTAGAGAATAGGCTTCCTTTAAGCTAGGCTTCATCGTGCTTATCATGGAAACACCCGAAGCTATGGTAACATCAGACAGGTGTCTTGTCAAACATTGCCATAATCATGTTTTTTTATAGGATAGGGTGACAAACGAGCACACAGTCCACTTGATGGTAAGTGGTTGCTGCGGCCCATAGACATCTACGAGTATATCTATCTTCGACCACGAATCAAAATGCAGATGCGTTGTCACCCGTGAGGACTAAGATGGAATGCCTCGTTTCCAGTAAAAATGGTCTCCGGTTCACTACACTCACCATACGAAACACAGCAGCATGAAGCTACTATTTTACTCTGGTATTCTGTGAGAGCGTGGGCCTTCCCCGGTCGAGCCGACCCATTCGTGCTACAACTATACTACTAATATAACTGCAGCATGGCTCTACCACGTAAATATTGTATTTTTGTACCATGTGAATGTTGTATTTTTTGTTACTTTTCAGTGAAATCTGCGAATTAACAAGTATAAAGAAAGAGGACGTCATTAGTACATTGCAGAATTTAAATTTAATTAACTATTACAAGGGACAGTATATAATTTCTGTGAATCAGGTAACTGCTTTAGTTAATTTGATATAGATGTATTGTGCAAAAATGTTAAATTCTGTTGATCTGATATTTGTTTTATCGAAAAAGGAAACCGTTCAGCAACACGAAAAAGCTATGGAAAAGAAGTTGTTACGTATCGACCCCAAATGTTTGCATTGGACGCCGAAAGATTGGTCTAAGCGAGCGAAATGGTAAAACATTTTATATATCTAATAATAAATAATCATAAATTAAAACATATGTTTTAGTGACTATAATTTCCTGTAATAATTTAAAATAATATGAACCCTAATAGCTCATTTAATAAAATTACGATTACCGTATTCACCACATTCTTAGATTCTAAAGCATATAGTCCATTTTCGTTTGATTTTTTGATAAAACCCTAAATTATATATTTTTCTTTGTCACCAGCGTTTGAAGTGTATCGGAGATGCGAGCTATCTAACTCTGGCTTCCGACACGTACGCAATTTATTCATTTTGTATCTAACATTCCTCATCCATGTATTATTTTCAGCTTTTCACTATTTTTGGTGTTCTTTAAAATAATCATTGCTACCACTAACTTTGTTAAGGGATTACTATATTAAGTAAAATAGTTTTGTGCTTAAAATTGCTGCTACATTAGCGTATCGTATAGTATTTGATTTTACCTTCAAAGGAAAAAAAATGTATTTATTGCAATAAAGTTGATTTTCCGTGTTAATGTTTACAAAAGATTTTATGTGTAGAAAATTTAATATGCATTTTTTATGGTTTGGTTTTTAAATTATTGCTTTTTTGTAAGTTTATAAACACCAATTTTAATTATTTTTGTTTCTAAGCAATAGTTAATTTTTATTTGCTTTTAAATTTTTTACTACTGATGACGTCGTAGAGTAGACTGAATAGTTTGTTACTTTTGCCAAGCATAGAAAAAGGAGTAATATCATAACTAATAATATTTTTTATGATAAATCCACCTGTAAAAAGACAGAGTACCCTTGTAACAAAGTAATGGTTAAAGCGAGGGTTATTGTGACTCAAATAAATTAAAAAGCAAGCAAATGTGCTGTAAACAAACGTACTTTAAGGATCGTCTTTTGACAACTTGAGTTAGACAAGCAAGATAATTAGGATTTTTAAATTACTAGATGATATATTTTCACTTCATTCAGCTTACTTATGATGTCATATCTAGAGGTGAAACAGAGGTAGGTTAATTTTTACACTTAAGATAAAATAATTAAAACTATCAATTTAGTAACTGTTTATAAATATTCCACGTGGTAGAGCCATGCTGCAGCTATATTGGTAGGGTCCTTCCCCTGTCGACTGGACCGGGGAAGGACCACGCTCTCACAGAATACCAGCGTAAAATAACAGCTTAACGCAGCTATGCTTCATATGGTGAGTGTAGAGAACCGGAGACCCATTTTACTGGAAAAGAGGCTTTCCATCTTAGTCTTTATAAGTGACAACGCATATGCGTTTTGTTTCGTGATCGAGGATTGATGTAGATGTCTATGGGCCGCAGCATCCACTTACCATCAGGTGGACTGTGTGCTCGTTTGTCACCCTTATCCTATAAAAAATATGCATAGCCTATAATTTTCATTACATACCGATTTATAAATGATTGTCAATTTATAAATGATTTCACTGAGATGACAAATACCATTGTGTTCTATTTTTTCTCTGGTTCAACACAACTTCAAACCTATTTACGAGTGTACACAATTGAAATTGACACCTTTCCCTAAATGAATGTTATATAATCCAAACAAAACATATTCAAAGGTTATATAATAATGATTTAAATATGTGTAACTCTTTTTAGTTGATACAAAACAAATACGTAATGTAGTGGCAAGATAAATTACTAACATGGTTTAAAATGAGGTATTAAGTTTAACCAAAGCAGATGTTAAAAAATGGGCCAGGTCTATGTACTGCCTAAAAAATAGAGAGATAAATCTGCAGAATACGGCAAAAATACAGATAATTCAATTCAATGTATCCTGTCGTGGTAAATAATTGATGTTTATAAACAATGACAGTAAACCATAAAACGACTATTGATAATAGAAAGAGAACTGGCAGTTGTCACAACAGTGTCAAAAAATACGTGAAATAAACAATTAATAAAAATGACCGCTTACCGTCATGACGGGTTTTTGTTGTGTTGCAAGTTCAAGTATAATTTCTTGTGCTTTACCAGAAACCAAAGCCATTATAAAATAATTGGACGGTTGAGAACCTTTTAAAATGTGTTTCCCTATTTTTAAGTATAGTGTACAAGGACTTGGCCCAGGCTCCATACATTTTGGAACACAGCCTTTAAAGTAATTATAAACACGCAACAAGGTTCGCTACAAGTTGCAATGCTTCTAGTTTATTTATTTAACTTTATATTTTTGTAGTAGCGAGTAGGTAGTAGGTATAGTACATACTTAAATTCTTATAGCCTTATATAATTTTGCATGTAAGAAAGAATTACACTTTTTGACATAAAATGCTTATTGCCGCAAAGATAATCATTTGTTTGCTATCGATCATAGAGCAACACAGGCCATAGTAGTAGCCATACGCAACCGTTCCCCTCTATCAAAGTATAAGTCCACGCGGTCCTTTCCGTACAATAAAACTAATTACAACAGCACTCCTCACTAGACTAAATAATCATGTCCAGTTTTGACCTGAAAATTTGCTATCGCGTCTAGTGATGTAAAATATCTTATAAAATTGCATTTTTTCTTATTTCGTATCGCATAATTGAATTTTTAAATAAAACCAGGAAAAAAAAGTAATGTTACTTTGTTTCATTCTCAATAGACTTTTGGAGAAGGATCGTGTTTTAAAATGGCTCAAAGGCCCAGAAGCCATACCAAAACATATTAAAAACGTGTTTTACACGTTCCATTTCACACTACCAATATCTTGCTCATTTGTCATGTGGTTTATGAATGTTCAAAATAACCAATTACTTTTTTATAATTAATTAATTTATGATTAGATACGATGTTAATGGTTTTGTACTATCGTGTGGAAAGAAAAATAAGTGTACAGACCTTATCTGACGGATGTTATAACCTCAAATTTTTATTTACATAATAGTATGTTTTCCTGGTCTCTAAATGAAAAGATGATAAGTTATTATGTTATTATAAACAATAATTGTTTTTATACAACAGTAATTGTAGGTAGACGCGACCTGTTAAAGGAATCAAGTAACAGGTCATTCAATGTATGGAAAGTGGGCATGATTCTTTAGTTGCGAGACTAAATTGACGTCCTACAAAAATGCCGAATTGTTCAGATTTTTGCTGCAAAAATAGATCTGCTACGTCAAATTCACAAAAAGACCTTACCTGTCATATGTAATTCTTAACGACTAGTACTGTTTAATTCTTTTTAATCTTAAAAATTACATTAATAACGGTGCATAACATTGGTGGTGTTGTTTCGGATTTGTTTACCAACACAGGCCGCTCACCTTAATACAATTGTGCGATTCGGTCGAGCGACTAATCCGAGTTGTTGCTGTCACGAAGATGGCAAAGGCATAATATGGTCTATACAGCCATGTCACTTGTGCTTATAATCATTTATGAGATTATGTTTTCTGATTTATTAATTATATATTGTGAGTTTCTTATATTATAGTTTAATATTAAAATAGCATTAAAATAAATATAATACAATACTTAAGAGTATTAACATATTATACATATTAAAATTACATTATATATAAAAACAATATGGTGGAAGTTCACCTTCGATCTTATTGTTTGTTTATTTATTTATTATGGTACCCTAAAGATCGGACCTTAAGGGATATATGGAAGAACAGATATTTTAGATTTGTGAAAAACAAATTAGACGACGTTTAAGCGACGTCAATAAACCTATACGATCTTGTACCACGCAATAAATCGTGACAAAAGCCTTTAAAAAGTTTATTTGCAAAGACTTGTCACCCTAGCAGTTACCATTCAAACGAAAATGATTTTACAGATCATAATTTGGAACTGTCAAGAATAATAATGAAAAATATACTTACTAGAATTTTTTCTTAATGAAAAGGGAACCCACAAAAATATATTTGTTATAATATACAAAATTAATCCATTTTAAAAACCAGTGATACACATATACAACTATTACTGGTTTTTAAAATTGTATAAATGTTAATTATATAATGTATTTCTTAAATGATTAATGACTATAGTGATAATAAATTTATTTTGTATTTACATTTATTACAATATCCACTTTTTATCACTTTTTAAACCTTATTTCCCTAATAAAGTTCTCGAATTGAATATCGATCAATTGGCGAAGCGTATCCTCAATTATTACAGCTGTATGCAACTTGTCATATTGACAGTAGTGTAGTATAATTTCATTATACTGTTATGACAGAAATGTATTCTATGAGTGTATGAAATTGTAAGTGTATTATTTTCTTATGTGTATGTTTTGTAGTTGCAGACGATAAGCATAGAATGTCGAGAGGCATTAAGTCCGCCCATTGTTACCTTAGTTGTAAGGTGCTACAATTAAGAATAAATAAAATAAATAATATTTGTCTAGGAGACTGAGAAAGTGCATGGCGTAGACTCCCCCCGCAAAAATATCAGAATAACGCTATGGCTACTCCCCTCCGGTAAATCGGCGGCCTGTTTTGCTCTATGCTATCGATAGATGTCATTATAGTCTACATTAGCTTACATATTCTACTTTAGTTTTTATTAATTGTGATATGTTTGTATACTTATTTATAAATCCGCACGCAAAATCAGTCTTATTCACAAAGCTATTAAATGTCAATCATATTGTAAATTTTAAATTTCACAATCTCCGGTTACATTACTACTTACCATCAGGTGGGATAGTAGTGTAACAAACAGTACGTTTGCATTGAGAAACATTCAATACGTAATGTTTTGAAACAAATCACATAAAATAAATCACACAACATATTTTGCTGATGGAGACGTTCGCACTCACAAAAACTGTGCAAAATTTTCAACAGATATTCAAAGTTATCTTTCAAAATGACAATACTGCAACAAATTTGTTTTCAAACATTTTGTTTCTGTGGTTATAGAGATATAATATAGTTAAAATATGTAATGTACAATAAACTGTCAAACATATTTCACTACAACATGTTCTTTGACTATGCAAACGATTTTTGTTACATTGACGGAAAACAGTGTTTAAAACATGTTTTTTTGTGAAAAACCGCGTCAGTGCAAACTCACAGTAACACTGGCTTGTAATCGTATAAAAATATACAAATAAATGAAATAGACTCCGTCAAAAAATCCATCCCAGCGTTAATCTGTCGAAAAGCTATTAGCGTTATAAATCATCAGCCGGGTAAAGACATGAAAATGTGCCGTTTGGCAAACATTTCTTAAGTTTCCATATT